CGTGATGGAGAACGCGATTCTCAAGGAAGGAGAGGAGAGTTACGATCGGGAAGAGCTCGAGAAGATTGCTCGACAGGAGATTGATGACTCGTCTGCAGATCTTAACCCAACGGGACGCTTTATCAGTCGCAACCTGACGACTTTCAAGGATCTCCATGAGCTACAGGAACAGAATGTTACTCTTCGCCGCATGCTGAGAGAGTTGGGCGATAAGATGGAGGGTGCGGAGGCTCGCGAGCAGGATGTTATTCGTCAACAAGAGCAAGAAGAGTTGAAGGAACTCAGAATTCGTGTGCAGACTTATCGCGACGAAATTTCCAACCTTGTTGCTCAGACAAAGAGCTATGTGAAGGAGAGAGATACTTTCCGAAGCATGCTGACACGTCGCCGTCAGACCGTTGGCGATGCTTCTGTCTTCTCTCAGTCTCTTCCACTCGGGGCAGTTCCTCCTGGAGCAGCCGATGAACAGGCTAAGGACATTCCCGACTATGCCGAACTACTACGCAAGGTTCAAGCCCACTTTGACAATTTCCGCGAGGAGTCTGCTACCGATCACGCCGCTCTGAAACAACAGGTCAATGAGCTTTCGCGAAAGAACAGCGAGTTGATGAGCGAGATCAGCCGTTCCAGTAGTCAGCTTGGCGCCGCTACCCAAAGAGCCGAGCTTCTTCAGAGCAACTTCAACATGCTGAAGAGCGAAAATGCTGAGCTGCAGAAGCGCTACGCCAGTCTGTTGGAGAACGCCAATAGGCAAGACCTTAGGACCCAGCAAGCTGCCGAAGACCTTGTTGAAACTAAGGGGCTGGTAGAAAGCCTTCAGCGCGAGAACGCGAACCTCAAGGCAGAAAAGGACCTGTGGAAGAGGATCGAAAAGCGACTGATTGAAGACAACGAAACTCTGAGAAACGAGAGAAGTCGCCTGGATAATCTGAATGCCAACCTTCAAAATATCCTGAACGAGCGTGAACATACAGACTCTGAGAGCCGCCGCAGGCTACAGCAAAGCGTTGAATCCTTGGAGTCCGAACTGCAGTCTACCAAACGCAAACTCAGCGATGAGATTGAGGAGTCAAAGAAGGCGACCTTGCGCAGAGAGTACGAGCACGAACAGAGTCAGAAGCGAATTGATGACTTGGTGACGAGCTTGGGCTCCGTCCGGGAAGAATTGATCGCTACCAAGACAACCAGAGATCACTTGCAGTCGAGAGTGGATGAACTAACCGTCGAGCTTCGCAGTGCCGAAGAGCGACTCCAAGTCATACAATCTAGACCGAGCGTTTCTGCTGCCGCTACTGCTGCCCCCGCCACAGCGCCCGAGACCGAGGAAGGTCAAGAGTCTGGCTTGACCCGTGAGCAAGAACTTAGCATTGAGGTCTCTGAACTCAAACGTGACCTGGACTTGGCCAAGAATGAGCTTCAGCATGCTGAAGAGCGAGTTGAGGACTACAAGGCCATCAGCCAGCAGAGCGAGGAACGCCTACAGTCTGTGACTGAGACACATGAAGAGTATCGGGAGGAGACAGAGCGTCTGATCGAGGAGAAGGACAAGAAGATCCAGGATCTCGAAAAGCGCATTGAGGAGATTTCTTCCGAGTTGTCTACAACGAACAACGAACTCACCAAGCTGCGTGATGAGCAAGGAGAGGCTGGCCGCCGTTTGGAGGAGCAGAAGGCAGTCTTGGAATCTGAAATTGCTAGGCTGAAGGATGAGAATGAGCGTCATAACTCTGCCTTCCAGTACCACAAGGAAGATCTCCGCGCGCAGACTGAAATTGCGCAGCATGCCCAACAGAACTACGAGAGTGAATTGGTCAAGCACGCTGAGGCAGCCAAGAACTTGCAGATAGTGCGCTCTGAAGCTAATCAGCTGAAGCTGGAAGTGGTTGAGCTACGGACCCAAGCTGAGACTTTCAAAAAGGACCTTTCTCAGAAGGAGGAAAGCTGGAACGAGCTCAAGGAGAGGTACGAGGGTGAAATAACCGACTTGCAGAAGCGCCGGGAAGAGGTTCTCCATCAAAACTCTCTGCTACACTCGCAGCTGGAGAATATCACGAACCAAATCTCAGCCTTGCAACGTGACCGCGCGAACATGACCGAATCCGATGACGACAATGCTGAAAATTCACCACCCAACCTTGAAGGCCTTCAGGAAGTGATCAAATTCCTGCGCAGGGAGAAAGAGATTGTTGACGTGCAGTATCATCTATCGACACAAGAGAGCAAGCGTCTCCGTCAGCAACTTGAGTACACGCAGTCTCAGCTCGATGAGGCACGTCTCAAGCTAGAGCAACAGCGTCGCGCTGCTGCTGATAGCGACCACACCGCTCTAAGCCACAACAAACTTATGGATACCTTGAACGAGTTGAATCTGTTCCGCGAGAGCAGTGTCACGTTGCGCAATCAGGTCAAGCAGGCAGAGTCATCACTTGCGGAGAAATCTGCACGCATTGAGGAATTGGTGCAGCAGATTGAGCCTTTGGAAACAAAGGTTAGGGAATTGGAGAATGTGGTGGAGACGAAGGACGGGGAATTGAAGCTGCTGCAAGCTGATCGTGATCGCTGGCAGCAACGTACTCAAAACATTCTGCAGAAGTATGACCGCGTTGACCCTGCTGAAATGGAAGGACTCAAGGAGAAGCTTGCAACTTTGGAAAAGGAGCGTGATGAGGCCATTCAAGCTCGTGACACTCTGCAAACTGAGGCCGCTGCCTTCCCTGAGCAGCTCAAACATGCCGAGGATAGAGTCCAAGAGTTGCGCAGCAAGCTTACGGAGCAATTCAAGGCTCGGTCTAAGGAACTCACCGGTCGTATCAACGCTAAGCAGGCGGAACTGAATACGGTCGCACAGGAGAAGGAGGTGATCCAGGAGGAACTGGCCAAGACAAAACAAGAATTAGAGGAACTCAAGACGAAGATGGCGGAGAAGCCGGATGCTCCTGCACCAGTACCCGAAGCGACGACTGAAGTCAACTCGACCCCCGCCTCGCAATTCCCTGCTCCGACAACGCAAGTGGCTGTTGCCACTGACGACGAACGGGTGAAGGCTTTGGAAGAGAAGGTACAACGTCTCGAGGCAGCACTTGCTGAGAAAGATGCTGTATTGGCTGCCAAGGATACCGAGCACGAGAGAAAGGTCAAGGAACGCATCGACAAGATGAAGGAGGTGTTGAATAGCAAGTTGGCAGAGACTCGGGCGGCCCATCGCCAGGAGGTGGAGCGACTCAAGGCTAGCCTGCAGGCAAGTCCACAAGCTCCTGCGACCCCTGGCCAGCCACAGGCAGAAGCAGCTCCTGCAACCCCCGCGGCATCTGCTACTCCTGCGATGGAAGGGGGACTTCCGGAGTTGACGGATGCCCAAGCAAGGGACCTTGTTGCGAAGAATGAAACCATCAAGATGATCATTCGGAACAACATTCGTGCGCAGGTGAGCAAACAAATGGAAGCTGAAAAGCGAGGCTCCCAGCAGAATTCGGAGGCTGCGGCTGCCCTACAGCAGAAGTTTGACGAAGAGAAGGAGGCCTTGAAGAAGGCCCACGAGGAAAGTGTGGAGGAGAAGATCAAGGCTGCTGTGGAGCTGTCGGACAAAAAGTCCCTTGCCAAGCTCAGTATGCTTGATTCTCGGTGCAGGAACTCGCAGGCCAAGCTCGACGTGGTGCAGAAAGCGGCCACGGAGACCCCTCAGAAACCTGTTGTCGAGGTTTGGGAGATAGCTAAGGTGACCAGAGCACCCCCGGCTGCTCAAGCGCAAGCCAAACCCGCACAGGCTGCAGCATCCCCAGCACCAGCACCGTCGCCTGCCACAGTAGCAGCACAACCGGCGCGTGCAGCCCCTTCACCATCCCCGGCGACGCCTGCAGCAAAACCTGCGCCTGCCCCTGCACCGACACCTGCACCGACACCTGCACCTGCCACCCAGCAGGGCACACAGGCACCTGCTGCAGAAGCAACAGCTGCCCAGCCATCAGCTCAGGCTCCGACACAATCGGAAGCACCCTCGCAGACGGAAGCACCGCAGACACAAGTAGCCAATGAAACTGCTCCTGAGCAGGGTGCGGCCGGCGCAGCCCCCAATCCGTTCGGACAAAGTCAGAACAAACAGCCAGCGTCGCTTCCCAACAAACCTCCAGCTGGTGCTGCCTCAGGCAACGTCTTAAGAGCTCTCCAGTCCGGGCTTCCAGTTGCGCGCGGTGGTCGAACCGGTGGGCGTGGCGGCGGTCAGCAGAATCCTTTCGGTCAACAAGGCCAACAGGGCCAGGGTCAGGCCCAGCAGCAAGGTCAGGGTCAAGGCCAGCCTAGCCAGCGCGGCTCGGGTCTGCCTCGCGGCCGTGGAGGGCGTGGAGGCCAAGGCCGGGGTGGCAATCAGAACGTGCAGACAGCCAATCTCGGCCAGTCGCAGCAGGGCCCGGCCAGTCCTGGCGGTGGTCGTGGCGGCGCGCTTAGTGCGAGCGCGCGTCAGTTTGTTCCTCAAGGCAACAAGCGCGCTCGGGATGATGGCGGCGGAGACGGCGGAGATGGAGCAGCTGGCAAGAGAATGCGTGGTGGCGGTGGTGGTCAACCTCGGGGCTCTTAGATGACTGCGATTATCGATTGTGATTGTTACATTTTGACTTTTCATTCCTTTTCTCTATACATGCATGTATTTTATGTCTCCATTCTTCGGCTTATAGGGTGACCGAAGTAAACCTACGAATGCTGTAATCCTTAGCGGGATGAGAATCATACTTTTCTTTTGTCTATCCGACTGGATGTATTGTGGAGGTGTTGAACTTCCGAGAGCCCATACTGGATGCTTAGGTGTCATTAAGAGTCAACAAGTATTGGATCGAGTAGGCGAAATCCCCCAATCTATCCGGGTATAACCAACAGTAAAAGAAAACAACCATGCATCTCGCTAGAAAAACTACACCGTCCATGAATCAATCCCAAGCCCCCCGCCCTCATCTCCTTCTAGCTAAGACTCTTGCAGTATCATCTCACCCCCTCCTCCGATTCTGCGCGACCAACAACCTCCCCACCGCCTCCCGCTCCAAATCCAGCACCATCAACCGCGCATCCTCCAACGTCCTGGCCTCCAACGGCGCGTCCCCGGGCCTCTCCCCCCCACCATCAACCTTCTGATTCTGCGATAGAGAAGAATGATGCAACGCCCCCCAAACCACCCCGCGCGTCTCCCTCCGCCTCCGCCGCTGCCCACCCCCACCCCCACCGCCCCAAACAACCACCCACTCGCCCACCCCGGTCCCCGCCGCCACCTCACAGCCCGCACACACCCTCGCATGCGCCCCCACATCCACCCGCCGATTAATCACGGCCAGCGCATCGATCACCACGCCGGAATGGATATGCGCCCCGGGGGCGATGGACACCGCGGGGCCGATGGTCACGCGCGAGGAGATGCGGATGGGGAGGGCGGCTGCTGCTGCTGCTGCTGCTGCTGCTGCCGCCGTGCTTTCACTGGTTGTGGTTGTGGCTGTGGTGGAGGGGCCAGGTCTTGAGTTTCCGGGAAACGGGGCAGGCGTGCCGATGACGGTCTTCTCGCTGATGATGCAGTTGTTGCTGATGAGGATGGGGCCCTCGTGCGAGTAGAGGCGGGCGCGCGGGTGGATGATGGTGTGGGCGCCGATGGAGATCGGGTGCGTGCCTTGGAAGATTGTGGTGTCGGAGATTTGGGCGCTGGGGTGGATGGCTAGTGGGGGCCGGGTGGGGGTGGTTGATGCTGGGTTGGAGGGGCGGTGGTGGTGGGATTGTTGTTGTTGTTGTTGTTGCTGGTGTGGTTGGTTTTGGTGGTGAGGTTGAGATTGAGGGGGTGGTGGTTTGAGGTGGGTTGGTGGTTGTGGGCGGGAGTCCATTCTTGTTGTGTCTTGTTGGTTTGTGGAAGTTTGTCGATGGTCGTCAATGGGTGAGAGGTGGTGTGTGGTTAGTAGTGAGGTGGTGTTGGTTCGTTGGGTGGTTGTTGGGTGAGAGGAGGAATCGTCGGACTGTGTAGGTATGCGTTTGTTGTTGTGGTGAAGCTGAAGCTAAGCTGCGACTGGTGAAAAGATAAGATTGCGGAGATTCGGAGTGGGTTCCGATATGCGGCCGGCTTGCTGGCCTGCCCGCACTTGAGGGGTCTCCTCCGTAGATGGTCCATTCCAAGTGTACATAGTATGTACAGCACACAAATTCCCAAAGGTACAACTTGTCTATACAACCATTTGATGTAATCATATCCAATCTCAAACCGGGTATCTATCTAAAACACGTAGCCCATCTAACCCATCCATCCATCTAACACCTCATCTCATCTCATCTCATCTCATCTCATCTCATCTCATCTACTCATCCTCCCCCTCTTCAACCTCCTTCTTAATCCCATTCCTCCTCCGCCACGCCCACACCCCCCGATCCACCTCCGCTTTCGTCACCCCATCCCTGACCAAACAGAACGTAACGCCCAACTCCGTCTCCACATTCCGATTCCGCGCCTCATCGTCGAAGAACAGCATCTCCTCGTACGCGACCCCGCTCGCCTGCTGGATCTTGGCGAAGTGCTGCGTCTTGGTGGCCGGGAAGATCTGGAGGTGGTCGAAGTAGTCGAGGGCGCGCACGGTCTTGGTGCGGTGCGCGGCGGGGTTGTCGCTGAAGGTGGGGATGATGTGCAGCGCCTTCAGCATGTCGCGCGCCAGGTCCGGCGCGTGCGTGCGCGAGGCCACGGCCAGCGGGATGTTCTTGGTCTTGCAGCTGTGGATGATGGAGGGGACGGCCGGGTAGAAGGTGAAGGATTCGTTCCATCTGATCAGAGGGGTTTAGTTTAGGGGGTTGCTTGGGGTCTGGAATGCGCTTGGGTAGAGGGGGAGCGGGAGCGGGGGGGCAAGGCGAGAGAGCTTACTTGTCTGTGCAGCGCGAGTTGTTGTCGCGGGGTTTGATCGGGGCGCTGACGTGTGTGTCGACCCAGAAGGGCCACAGGGTGTAGTCCAGGTCGAAGGCGATCAGTTTGGGGAGAGGGAGCCCGTCGCTGAAGGTTTCGGGGGCGACCGAGGAGGTGTCTTCCACCGGTTGCGTGTTGGTTCGTCGCGTGCGCATCTTGTTTGGTGATCTGGACTTTGCAAAGTGGAATGAATTTGCGAAAGAGTTAGGGGATGGGAATTTGGCTGGGTTGAGGGTCGAACAGGTCTAATAAATGCTGCCGAGATCTATGAATATGGCAAATTGAGTCTTATTTTTTTTTCGTTTATTCACAAGTAACAGTAAACCCCCAGCGAAATGACGTTGGAGAAGCTGGTGGAAATCGGAGTAAGATCACGTGGGGCGATAAGACTGATAAGCGGGCAGAACGAAGGGCACTCTTTTGGTATCAGCAATCAAGGGCTGTTTCCTGTTTTGTTTTTTTTTTGGTATTTGTACTTAAAAGTAAAGGTTAAGGTAAGCCTACTGAAATGAACTATGGACATCGAAATCAGCAGTGGAAAAACACATCTCAGGTCGGAATGCCTCCAGTCAGCACCAAATCACCACCCAGCATGTCCGGCCAGCAAACACTTTCCCGAGTAAATCTAGCACACCAGATACAATTCATTCAACCACACGCGTTCTTCGAACTTTCCCGAAAGGCAATCGTCCCCGATTTCATATCTGCGAATTCGTTTCATCAAGCTTGCTTGTTGTCTTCTCGACACATCTTCCATTTGGGGAACTAGATCGTTGCGGATGCAAACCACTTCACTCGCCCACGTGATGTTTAGGGCTTTTCCAATTCACAAGGGACTGTAGGTGAAGCAGCCCACGGATTCTAGGAATTTCCAGAGTTGCTGGTGAAGTTCCGTGCCCTTGATCTGCACGCCATAAGCAACGACGTCCCAGTCACTTGCGTAGTGCATGATGCGAGTTTGTTGCTCGAGGTCCAGGGTCCCATCGGCCCCGACTGCTTCAGCGATGATCCGACGCCAGATATTAAAAGGAAGATCATAGCGCCATTCCTGCTTGCCAGAGTCGCGGATATTGCGCCTTCGGGTGGCAGTCGCCGCGGGCTGAGAGGGTAGAGGGGCCCTTCTGGTCTGGTTGGTGTCAGAAAGGTCCCCAGACGGGATACGCAGGGCTAGAGGAGGTCCCGGGGCTGCCGACGGCAGATTGGGAAACTGGGAGTCGAAACTAATGGCACTCGGATGGAAGGGGCCCGAACTTGCAGAGCGGGAGTGTTGGCCGGTTGCGTTCACTGCGGAAGTCTCCGAGATACTCGGATTGTTACGTCGGACTGGGAGAAAACTGGTCAGCGGCGCCGAAGTCACCGGCTGAGCGATGCGTATGTGAAACGGCGCAGCGTTCTCAACGTGGTAGTAGGTGGGCTCGCCAGAGGAGCTATCATCGCTGTCCGGGTCCATTGGGAACGAAACTACCGGGCCTTCGGTAGGTCGAGGGATCGGCATCCGCTCTAGGATGTCGTTGTCTTCGCATTCTATGGGACGGTCTCGGTCTTCTAGAAGCAGAGCTCGCGCAACAAGCATCATTCTCAGAGCGGTGCTCCAGATTGTGCTGCTGTGCACACCGTCAGCCCTGATAACTTCGAGGCGTACGCGTTTGCACACTCGAGTGAATTCGGTTCGCAATTTGCTTTGGAGCTTCTGCTGGGTAGCACTATCGAGGTCTTGGCTCGTCTCGCTGGAGGTGTCGCTGGCCTCTGCGAAGTTGTTGTCATCACTCTGATCTGCTGTCTCGAGTTCAGTTTCAACTTTGGATTCTCGGAGCTGCTGAAGAGCCTCGGCCACCTCAATCATTCTGAGCACATGAGGGGCCAGTTTATCGTTCGGTCGCCAGATGATGCTTTTGCACGACGCCGCACTCTCAGGCAGCACCACGGCCTTGCCAACTACCGGAAGAAAGCCCAACAGCGACTCGGGGGCACGCTGGAGGTCGAGCATGGGAATCAGCTGAATGGCACTATGACTCGTCATCGAGACATCTGTGAGGATCAAGTATGGGATCGAACGAAGGCCACGCGTGCAGGCATATTTCTTCAATTCGGCGTACGTATGAGCTAAAGACAAAAGAAAAAGCATATCAGCTCATCGTCCTAGCCTTACATGGTTGGAAGGGGAACCTTAACTTACCGTTCTTCTGCTCTGGCTTGGGCAGAGACGGGGACTTCTTCTTCCGCGCGGTGCTTTCGTTCTCCTTACCGGCTATGACCTTCAATCGCGCCATACCCTCAGTCATGGATTCCGGAGTCGATGAGTGTTCCTCATCCTCAGAGTCCAACGCAAGCACTTCATGCGCATCGCCCTCGAGGAAATCCAGGTCCGACTTCATGTAAATGCGCGCCAGGTGTTCGATCCCCGCACGCCCGAGGGCATTACCACCCAGGTCCAGCTTGCGCAGCACAAAGCACTTCTGGAACGAGTTGAGAAAATTCGCCCACTTCCGGACGGCGTCGGGGGTCGTGATCTGGATGTCGTTAGTGGACAGATCCAGCTCGCGCAGATCACCCGCGCTCCGCTTGACCACCTCCGTCAGCATCGGCAGCGAGTCCACGGTCAGCCGGTTGCCGGACAGATGCAGCTCGGTGACTTTCGCCAGCCCCATGGGGTGCTCCTGGTCCCGGAACTCGAGGCAGTCCACGAGATCCCCGATGAACTGGGCCAGGCCCTCGTCGGTCAGCACCTTGCCGGTCACGTCGATCTCGACGAAGGGGTCTCGTGCGGCGGATTTGGAACCTGCACCGGGTGGGAAACGTTTTTTCTGTGTTCCCAGATTAGAAACTTAGGTTCAGGGAATGTCGTTCTGCAGAGACGTTGGGTGATTCTGTTGCCATGGGGGTGGGTTCAGTCAAACTTACCAGGTCTTTGGACACGGCTTGGCCGGCCTTGAGACCGCTGATGCGTCTCTGGTATGTCTGTCATTAGCCAGCCTGTTTCCTTAGGGCAGTGCTTGATATATCGTCCATGAGTATGCAAGAGGGGGTTCTCTCACCGCGAGATAATTCAGCTTCCCCATCTTGGGGGCCCGGATCTCACAAATGAATCTGGCGGGGTGGGCCGCAGTCAGCACATGTTCACTCTCATGATGATTGGTATTAACTGGAAGACGTGAAGCCACAGAAAGGATGTCGGGCAAGTTGAGAGGGGCACAAGCTGGTTCAGTGTCATGCTTTCCATCATCGATGGCATTGCAGGACACGGTTGCGCTCGCGTGCAGGGCGTGATGCCTGTTCCAAAGCAGGCAGGCCATGGGAGATGAAAAGCGAACTTCATCAAAAACACAAGGAGAGGGCATTTTCAAACACCTGAACAGTTATACAGTGGAGTTTGTTTCTTGTGGGGTTCTTCCTGACGTGTTGGGCAACTGATCGCGTGTATGGAGGTGGGGGATGAGAACGGTAGATGGTGGGAGGTTCAGAGATCGATGGAGATATGATATCCACACCAACACAGCCATCAAACATGAACATGCAGCTGAACGGAAACCTGAATATCAACAGCTTGGTGGATCACATACCTTTCTTAATAACTGTGTTCAAAACGCCTGTCCACAAGTGTTGATGTGGACAGAAAGAACAGAGACAGGAGAGATGAAGATGGTGTTGATGGAACAAGAAGGCAGAGAACAACAAGAATCCTCACATCACAACCCATCTTTATATGGGATCATTTCGGCAACTAGATGTTTCTTTTCCTCCTGCTTCTCTTTTTCATAACATTCACTGTGAGAGTCTCAAAGAGATACACCGATGACGCCACAGGAACCCTGTGTTCCACCGAAGGGATTGAAACATTTGAAAACGAAAGAGCATGCTGCTTTGGAGAGTGAGAGAAAATAGTGAACCTCCTTCAGCTTCTTTATGATATCAAAGCTGGACTCCGTTCTCCCCCTCAGCGTTGAACACCCATCCTCCGCTATATTAAAGCTACTTATTATTGGGTACAACAAACAAGCAGAGCCACACATTATCATGCAGCAAGCCAGAGACCCCCTCTCATCCTTTCAAAACAGATTGATGATATCTTTGAACTCCTCCAGCAGTGCAGGTTCAATGTCCTCCCAGCCTTTCGGCACAACAACCTGTTCGGCAGATGCAACTCCCTGAAGCTCTTCCGGCGGACTATTCTCCTTGTTGCATTCCTCTTCCACGAGCTGTCCATTTGACTTGATCCTTTTCATGTTATCGTCGTTTGATGAAGACAACTTTCGTTTCTTTCCGCGAGTTGCAATGAAAGGAGGCTCTTCCCCACTGCAAACTACTGTTAGCCAGTGCTTATCTCCTAGATGCCTGCTACCCTACCTTTGTTTAGGTTGGCCATTGGATCGACTGTCAACACGATCTGCAGACGATGGGGTGTTCTGAACCTTAGTCTTCTCCGTGGAAGAAGGAATCTCAAGCGGTGACTGAACAGCAAGCCACACATCATCATCTGACCAATTGTCCTCTAGGTCTAATGTGTCCGCGTCCATCTCGACTTTCTTGCAAGGCCCACCATTGTCGGTCTGCGCATTTGTCTGATCCCCAAGCAACAGAGCGGCAGGTGAAGGGAAATCGCTGAAGGTATCATCGCTAGGCTCTCGTGAAGGTTTGCTTTCGTGAAACCCAGGAGACACACCATCGTTGGGTCCTCCGCTGGACCAAGGCTCCGCTGGTTCATTCTCCGAAGCATGATCCGGACCTTTCTGCAACTCACGATTCATAGAGGCGGAAGACTCTTTAGTCAAGTTCAAACCATACAGCTCAGCGCCAGCCGTATCGCCATCTTTCCTGGTCATTGATACTGGCAGGGTTGTTTGGTTGAGCCCCATCGGCTTTTCGGCCCCCAGGCTTGGCTGTTTTTTACTCGCCTTTGGGGGCTTGTCAAGTCCATCTCGACAACAGAAGTGCTTACACCTACTCTGATCAGTAGCTTATCTTGAAGAACCACCATAGCTCCTTACACAGTCTTATCCTTGCAGCGGTGGTTGCATGCCCATCTGCCGTTCTCCATTGGTGTTGGTTCCTCAACGTCGCTGGTCTTGGCCTTGCCGTCAAAGCCCTTGCTTTCGCCAGAGCCATTCTTCTGTCTTTTGTTTCCTGAAGGCGCTGGAAGTGTGCCCAAGGACCAACTCTCGTCCTCTATTGTAAAGAACAGGTTAGTGGTCTTTCATGGATCCTGTAGGACCCCGAACGTACCTTCCTGCAGGAATCTGTCGAACAATGACTCGTCGCTATCCAGAGTGATAACACTTTGTGAAGTGGGTCGCTTGCTCTGGGAATCATCATTGCTATCACAGCTTGAGATATTGATAGGGGGCTTCGCCGCAGCAGCCTCGGGCCTTGTGTTCGGACGAGAAAAGAAGAGTGTCGGTGGAAGCTCGGGCTTCAGAACCGCGGATCTCAATGTCCCAGCTAGCCAGCGTCAGCGACAAACAAGGAGTCTAAGGGACATGCATGCCCTCACCAATATCGTCACACGAAACACTGCATGACACGAACTGGTCCTTGTCCGTTAATTCCGCACTGAGCAAAATCTCCTGGCCGTTTGACACCTTGTTCGCACTATGGCACATTAGCTTGAATGACTGTCATGACGAGAGCGACTCCAGCTTACCTGATGCGTCGAAACTCCAGGAGACGACCGTCTGATACCTCAGCCAAGAAGCAAACATACACGGGACGTTTCAGATAGAAGGAAGGGCACTTGTCGTTCATGAATGCGATCTCTGCCTTAAGGCGAATTCTCACTGGGCCTGCCGGTTTGACTTCCTACTTGGCTCTTAGTGACTGTTTTGGGGGAAGTATGCGTTGCTGTTTCAGCGTACCTTGCCGGCCATTTTGATGGCTACTCGGAGCCTAGGGAAAGTCGCAACCCGCTCCAGCAGCTTCGCGCCAAAGGGAGGATTCTTGCTCAAGATCATATCAATGCGGTGCGGCTCGCACTGCCCCAGCGCCTCAATACTTGTGATATTAGCTGCGGCCAGCTTTCTGACCGTCACGATCCCAACCTGCTCAAGCTGCCTCATTTGTAGCGGAGAGTTATCCCAGACCTTGGCTCCAAAACTCCGCGCCAGCTCCAGAGCATTTCGCAAGGTCACCGCGTCCTCAAGGGAGATCTGGCAGTCTATGATGCACCGAATCAGTCTATTTATGTGGCTGAAGACGAAACTCGTGTCCTGTTGAAAGACAAATCTGAATTTCTGGAACTGTTCGCCGTCCGGGAAGTCCACCGCACCCAGTTCGGATTGGACCAGAAGCGAGATTTTGTGGGCTGAAAGCGCTATGTCGACCTTTATGGGGAATCGTATCCCATTGGAGCGGTTTATCTCCTTGTAGAGAGACTTCTCTCCAGCTTTGAGACGAATGTCCAGGAATTCTTCCGCTTGAGCAACGACGGATAGCTTTGGATGTTTAGTCTCAGCGTCAACATGCATACCCGATCCCCTTTACTTACTATCTGTGACACAGTAGACTGGGGCTTCAACGCGAGCAGATTTTTCATTGTTTCGAACCGCACGTAATAGCGAGCCATCGCCTCTCCGAAACTGGTCGATTGAAGGCCATTGACTGTGACCAACCCATACTCTTGAAGGAGTTTGATGTCCTTCTCGCAGATCTGCCGAAGCATCTCGTCTTCTCCATCTCCATCTGCTCTTTCTTTCAGCTGGTAGTGTGCTGGATTTCTTCTGAGTCTCACGAACAGAAACGTTCCACCCAGCCATCTGATGGCGGAGTTAATGTCAGTCACATTACCTAGCCCGATCTCTGCGTTAAGGTGGTCAATCAAATTCAGATGCAGACAGCTCTCAAGGCTCCCAGATCCTGAGACAAGCTTCTCATAGTGAGACTCGCGTTCCTTTCTAGTCATGATCACCGCTGTGGCACTGTTGTCAAACTGTGGTCGTCCCGCACGGCCGAGCATCTGCATGATTTCCAGATCGGAATATTCCCCACAGCCACCCCCTTGCCAGCCCACGGTGCCTTTGATGACCACGAGATGGCACGGAAGATTGACTCCGACTGCAAGAGTTGACGTGCAGCATATAATGCTGATATGCCCTTGGAGGAACCCTGTTTCAACCGTGCGCCGGTCCTCGGAATCAAGGCCAGCATGGTGAAAGGCAACACCAGCAGTCAGTATACCTGCTCAAATACTCAGCATCACAGACTGTGGTTTCCTCTCTTCTGGGTCAGAACCTACCCTCCAGATCTGCATTATGGGCTCCCAAATGTCTGCTTGCTCCTTTCCATAGTCTGGCAGGAGGATTGGACATCGACCACAGTCGAGCAAGCTCTTTCGCCGTCGAGACGGCAGAGAGTCTGGTGCAGCAGAAAACGATTATGGGCTTCTTACAGGAATGCGTCTTGATCAGATCAGGAAGTCTACATCCATGATGTTAATTAAGGCTCAGGTAAAGCGATAGAAGTCGACTTGGCTTACTTGGTGTTGCACATCTTGTCAAAGGCGAAGTCATTGCCCTGTGATCGATAACCATAGACGAACTTTTGCAACTTGACGGGGCGGAAGCTCTCATCGAAGTGTTCTCTTTGCGCTGGCAAGTGCTGATTTGTCGCGTCGCGACCAAGCCAAGTCGCAATGTCCTCAGAGTTCGGCACCGTCGCACTCAGCGCAACAAACCGTACATTCGAACCATTAGTTTTCATACGGGATACGACGGCCTCGAGTGTTGCTCCTCGAGCTTCTTTGAGGATATGAACCTCGTCGATGAGGAACAGCTTGACCAGCTGCATCAGCCGTGCATGGTCTTTCCACTTCCGGGTCACGCTGTCCCACTTTTCGGGTGTGGTGATGATGATCTGGCTGTTCTGCACGCTCTTCAGCTGCGTGTGGTCGGTGTCACCGGTCAGCTCGGCACACTGCAGCCCCAAGGTAAGGAACTTCCCATTCCAGTCTCGGAACCTCTCCGAGCAGAGAGACTTTGTGGGCGCTTGATAGATCACCTTGAACCTTTCGTCCTTGGATGTACTCATCAATCGGCATATCGCCAGCTCCATGATCACGGTTTTCCCGCTCCCTGTTGGGGCTGAGAGGACGATGTTGTGGTCACTTCTGTAAACGGATTGGAAACTCTTGGATTGGATTGCGTTGAAGACCGGGAAAGGGAATATGGCGCGATATTTATCGGGAAGCTCATGCACCGATACAAGGACAATGCCCCGAACAGACGCAGGGAAACGAGGTGAACTTGTGGCTTGCCCTAGCTGTGAATGCCCCGACTGCCCCGAATCAGCAAGGGAAGGCGATGGTCGTTCAGAATTAGAGCTAGCATTATACAGGGGTTCAATATCCGTTCGGGTGTCACTGGGGTACCTGGGTATCGGGTTCGCGGTGCCCCGTTGGGCTTGCAGTCTGAGCAAGGGACTCGACGGAGATATTATCCCTACACCCGAGGAGCTGGATCCTGCATCTCGAGGTGACACCTGAAGCACGTCTGCCATATCATCAGATTGTTATTTCTGCATATCTCCGTATCTGTACACTGACCATGAGGATGTCGAGCTCTTCGAGGATGAACAACCGACTCGAAGCGACTCGGAGCTGAGTACCCATCACCGTCGGCATTCGGCTGAAGAAGACCTCGTGTCTGCGCATTTGACTGCGCCAGCAGCTCAAGATCTAATTGAATAACCATTGACGTTAGGCCCACGGAAAATATGATTGAAAGTACTTTCATGACCCACCAAATGCATCAAGCTCTTGAACAGTGTCAAATGGAGGCGTATGAAGATTCTCATAAAGATAACTCTCGGGTGTCTGTTGAGCCTGCCTGCTGAAATATGGTGAGACACGAGCGTCCTCCTCTAACGTACGATTAGCGTGGTGAGTGAACCGACTCGGTGTTCGCAGCAGTAGCTCTGCTCTGCGCTCGGGCAAGGTCCGCTGCCTCGGTGAGGGCCTAAAATGATACCGATCACGCCGCATGTTGCCTAGATATACGATATCTCTCACCATCAGTTGCTGTGAACGTATGAGATACCAATGGGAACAGAAGAGGCTATGCGGAAAGAGAGGAAGGATGGGTAGTCTCCCAAAGAGGACCTGATAGGAAACATGTGACTTCCCACGGGGCAATTGATTGAGCCCCCTCGGGCCCCTAATCAGTCAAGATGATGTACTGTACAATGTATTGCGCGTCAAGCTTATATGTCCCGGATATCGAAAGATAAGCCACGCTATAATAGTTTTGCTTCGTATGATGCAGATGCACGGGGTATACAAACATGGGATTTGAGAATCCTATCAGCTATAATCAACAAGGTAGAAGAACGACCATAGAGTACAAGAAATTGAGGCATTTTCCGTCAAGAACGTAACAGGCATCACCACTTCTATCCATCCATATTTACTTCCTGAAACCATGATACAATGTAGCGCCAATTCAAAAGCTACTATCAAAACACGGGTAGTCGCACCCTCGACTCATTGATCCCGAGGGTGCTTCTCAAAGTATCCCCCGCTTGGAGTGCGGCCAGCACTAACGCGTACATGGCCCGGTGATGTAGGTCTCGATGTGGAGAGACCGGCATCGGACAAGAATGGTGTTCCAGGGAGCTTGATAGATATTTCGTTGGGTGATGGTGAGGCAGGTGAAGCCTCACCACTCTTGTTATCCTTCTCATAGCGGTCAACTCGAATGGGGGGCGGACGCAGCGTCTGTCGTTGAGCCTTGACAGGGTTGGCGCTTGACTCCTCACAGAGGCAAGTAGTCACTAGTACTGCGAAAGACCCAAGGAGGAACTGCAAGCAAACACATTAGTTCTCGTCTCAGTAAGCAAAGGGGAGATCGCATACATTTGCCGTGAGTTCAAACTCGAATAGCCAAGTGCTCGCTAACGTTGTGAGGACGATGCTTGCGGCCGTGGCAATATTCTTCGCATCCCTGTAGGCATAGCCAATGCAGAAAGACGTGGCAATACCTCCCAGGGCTTGAACAATAACGGTAGACCAGACGGCCCAGTTGTACCCATCGAAGAACCCATTGGCTGCCACTTTCTCGCCATCCAGGAATACAACGCCGATGAATAGTGCAGGGAAGATAGAGTAAACGGCTAGTTGAACATTACGGACCCAAAGAGATGTCGTCTTCGCGCTGTCTTGGATGACCTTTTCAAAATATACCCCAGCTAGGCCAGAGGCAACACAGGCACCTACAGTAGCCAAGAGACCAATTGTTCCGTTCAAGCGAGGATTAGCAGTCAGGATATCCTCTTCAATGCCTTCATAAGTCGCGGAACGCTTGTGTAGATTTTCACGTCCCAGCTTAGCAGCTTTCCATTCCTCCAACGAGCGTGGGAAGGAAAGATGGGCAGCTTCGTCGAAGTGAGCCTCATCGACGCTGGCATTCGGCATCTGCACCAGTGCAACCCCAATCACAAGGAGTACCAGCAGACCCCATTTGCGGAGGGAAATCGACCTTCTAAAGACAAAAAGGCTGAATATGGCCGTTACCAGAAGCTTCAGCTGGTAGGAGACCTGGAAAGTGGCAGCTTGCAAGTTCGAGAGTGCAATGTACTGCAAAGAATTGGCGAGCGTATAGAGACAAGCGGGAATTGCGAGCTTCCAACTATCGCCGGAGAAGACGGCGGAGGTGAGCGAAAAGAATAGCGACGTTGCGGGAACCGAAGGTGGTGCCGTCTTCGAAACCTCGTACAGGGCTATGGTTAGGGAGATGGCGAGTTTCGCGACCTCGTTGAAGAAAACAGCGGTGGACGTCAGATACCGTCTGCCGCCCGCGGGCGGCATGACCCTAGAGTAATGTGATAGCTACAAGGAGGAGTTAGCTTTCCGTTACAACTGCAGACCATTGCGTGACATGGTGAGCTTACCAACACAAAGGCAGTATACTGTGCCGTCAACTAGACCAGAATACATAGTTAGCGGACGTGCCAGGAAGGTTGACGCTGAGCGCAAAGTATAGGCGCGCAGCAATCTTTTGACACAAGGTACATGAAGATCTTACTAGGACCCAAGAAGCATTTTTCATGGTTGTTCCCAGTCCTGCAGACCGGCGCGCTGCGGTCTCTCCCATGGTGACGTTAGTCAACTCGTCCTCGACGATACTTGCGCTGTCTGTGGGTAATTTTCGAGTAAAACACTAGCAGTCTTATACAAGCTGCACCGCAGCAATGTTCGAACGTCGCGTGAGTTAAAGTACTGGTTGCGACTGCGGCGGAGATTTTCTAGAGCGAAATGTGCACGCGTCGGTCGGTTGTGGGAGGAGGAGGGGGTAGCGGGAGGTTGTGCGCGCTGGGCCGTGAGTCCGCCAGCAAACCGAGGCCTGATTGAGTGAGTCGCGAGAAGCAGGTAGACGAAGGGTCACTAGTTCTTGAGGGCGAAAATGAGAAAATGGGAGGATAGGATATCAAGGTGTAAGGTTCAGGTAGAGTAACCTCCGTAGAACAAAGGACAAAGGAAGAAAGGCAAGGAAAGCAAGCCTGGAGGGAGTGAATAGAGAGTAAGAGAGTCCGGGGTATTGTCGAGACGCTTGTTTGGGCGGTGTGGGTCACGGGAGGGAGGGAGGGGGAAAGAAAAGCACTGAGCAGCTGAGCAGCAACTGTGGCGGTCTAGTCCCTCAAAGGCAGTCTGCAGTCTGCACTGGGCAGTTTAGGCTTGGTACTCAGTCCATAGGTTACGTAGGGTGCGGTGCGTACTGCGTAGCTTCCCACTGCCCACCGCCCACTTCCCACTTTCCAGCCTTCAACTCAATTGTTTGGGTCAACCTTTCGCTAATCTCTCCTGCCCCCCTCCCCCTGAGGAATGGCAGCTGACGTCAGACTAGGACATAGCAGTCACCCACGTCGATCCATGCTCATCACCAGCGCACACCACCCATGCTACAACAAGATGAACAAATGCACACATCCATTCTAGCATCGACTGACGGAGAATCCTTCCGAATAGACAAATCCTGCCTTCGGCACCTTGGCAAGCCACCAAATCTCCAATCCAGGCACCGCCACTCGCCCTGTTGTGGTACTTTCCAACGTGCCTGGCTGCGATTCGACAAGCCCGGCGGGTATCATATGCCGGCTTCAGGGGCTGCCTGTTCAGCCCTTTCATCGCGGACTTTTGCATGGGTGCGACAAGCGGGGCGCCTCTCATACACAAACAAACCACGCTCGTGCAGGTTCGCAGCCACAGACAGTTCTTTGTCTTCTATGCAATCAAACAGATCACCAGGTTACGCGTGCAGGAAGAAACTATGGTTCAGTGATCTGATTTGGTGGTACATCGTACCACCCATTTTCCAATCTCGTCAAAGGAATGAATATATACATGAGTAGGTAAATAAGCCAGCGATCGGTGTTGTTAAAGGATAGTCATCTGGTATCATGTCGCCAAAGTTTACACAAAATGACATCAAGTTAGGCATCAATGAGAAAGCAACGATTGTTCGGGTTGGTAGGTAGATAATTATGAGATGCATCAAGCGAGTGAATGATGCAGTATGATTGGACGTTAGTTTAAAGTTGTTGGACATCGGTTTCATAAGCTTGGAAGACAGCTGAAGTGCTTCCAAGACATCGTGCTTTAGTGGACAGCCGTCATGTTACTGTTCTCGTTGTTCCACCTAATAGCCCAGATAGGAAAGTCGTCGCTCTGGGGCGCCTCGTTCGACTCCTCCAGGATGATCGCTTCGCTACTATCCGTGCGTCGCCTTGAGTGTCGTCGTTGTGCCTTGGGCACAGCCGGAGGAGGACGCATGGGGGGAGGCTTTTGCGTTGGAAGGGCCGAGAAGCGATGTAAAGGATGCGTGGGTGTTATGGGAGAAGCCCCGCTAGTGACGGGAGATGGAAGGCTCTCGGAGTATGCAAGGCTGGTGCGAGGCGAAGGGAACGACCAGACAGTCTTCTGCTCTCCATCAGAAGTACTCTGAAACACCAGCCCCTCCCGATCACTTTGCTGCGTGGTTTGGCTGGATTTGGCTGAAACTGCCGGGCTCAGGCGTAGGAACGACATATCCGTGCCATAGAAGGAATCGCGTGAAGGCACAGAAAGCATAGATCCCTGATCAGGTTCCGGAACACGGACTTCGTTAAAGAGACTGGGTGTGATTTTGCCTTGTCTCTGTCTCATGGCTTCTAGAAGATGTTCCTCTTGCCGCGTCACCGCAATGACTCTACTTCGCCTATTGGCCTCTTTCTGTGCAGTCATCGAGTTTCTAGTGCGCGGGGCTGTCTTTGACTGACTGAAGATAGGATCTCCATGGAAGAACTCTGGCTCAGAAATGGTAGGAATACCACTCGATCGGCGAGACTGGCTCTTCCTAGTGGCTGTTGAGGATCTTCCCGCTGACGACATGGAGGGGTTTCGGCGAAGAGATTGGTTCCTCTGACTGAACTGCGATCCACGACTTATGCCAGATATTGGCCGGTCGATGTCTCGTAGCGTGCCTCTAGTAGTGTGCGCTGCAGAAGCTGTGCAGATTTCAGGTTCAAACTCGCCGTAAGTTGCCACACTGTTTCTCGCACTTGCATCAGTATGACCCTTGGGGTAGGTTTCGTCGTCGTCTTCCTCTTCGTCCTCTGACGAAGACAGACAAAGAACGCTTGACTGGTTAAGATCCGCCGTTTTTAATGTACTCTTGCTGGTTTTCTTGGGCATTGAAGTCTTCGCATTGGGGCCAGTGTGCCCAGAATTTGAGGCACGATAAGCTTTCGGTGGAAGGCGGGCCTTGGGAGATAAGTAGGAGTCTCTGCTCCATCCGCTCACGGAGCTATTGGACGATAGGTCTCGCGAGTCCTGCTCGGTCGACTTTGAGTCCCGTTTTATCACGTGTTTGTCGCGGCTCTGAGACTGTGCATGCAATCGCTCGGACGGCCGGGCGGTATGTTCCATGTCGCTAAACCTTTGCAAAGCGAGGTCCATCTCATTGGTGCGTACGGTCTTCTCGAAGGAAGGGTCTGACCAATCTGAGCTTTTTATCTTGTAAGTAGTAGGTGCTTCTTGAGCGTGGTGGTTGACTAATTTCAGAATAGATGTCTTCGGATGAGGCGGCATTTTTGGTAGCTTGTGAGAGGGATCTTGGGTCTGGGTGTCTTCCGGGTTGGTAGCAGTCTGCTCGAAGGTTACTGAGATGGGCGAAGGCGAATCTACCATCCGCTGGGGGGAAAGAAGAGGCGCAGCATTCGCCCGTGGCTTGGGGAATAGCATTGAAAGATCAATTCGAGGCGGCCGCATCTTCTTTCGCGAGTCCCTCATAGATTCCTTGGGCTGTTTCAGTCCATGGCGCGTTTCAGCATGTTGCCGCAACTCTGATTTGCGATGCTCGCTGTTTCCAGAGTTGGTGGTTGCAACTCCAAGAGGCGGGTTCGTATCCGTGCTTGATTCCTTGGAGGTAAAATAGGAAAACAAGGCCGACGAGGAGCCGCCAAGGTGAAGTCTCTTCGAGGCTGTTGGTACAGCAGGCAAGGCAGTATCTTCTAATCGATACTCCTGCCCCAACAGCGGGGACGAGGCTCGAACACGGAGATGAGCTGGTGACAGAGTGGATTCTGAACCGGCGGTCGGAAAGGGAACGAAACTCCCACTCTTTTGTGACTTCACATCCGGAGATCGTCTGAAGCTCGGCTTTTTCGATCTTCTCTTGTCGTCGCGGTTCGGGTACTCATCGCGAGAAGGGATGTCAGCGGCTCCCAGAATCTTGTAGGCCTTTGACGAATTCTCGTTCCTCAGATCATCCTGACTCAATGTTGCTGGAAGCTTTCCAGCGGGAGTTGGATCCATTTTGGCGATTCTTCTCAGTAACTTTCAGTGGTCTGCTGGGTAAGAAGTTCCGAAGTCCCGAGTTCATGAGTTCGGTCTGTGACAGTTGCAAGCGGACTACTTTACTCTCGTTGCAGCGCTAGCTTGGAGTAACCACATCAATCGTCTCTCCATACAACGGTGAAATCGACACGGAGACTCGAAGCTCGAGGTGGAGGGTCTGGAATCCTTTTTAGCCCTTGTGTCCGAATTCGTTTGTGTCTTCCCCACACGAGCGTAAGTCGGTGTGCCGTCTGAAACTCCTTGTTCGTCTGTATGATTACCGTTTTGGTCACCACGATTTCCGGCTTCCAACGTCTCGCTAGAAAATGCTATAAGCTCGAATAGGCGGTCTGGAAATTGAATAGTTGCTGGAACTTGACCCTATGAACGCCACAATATGTAGGGGCAGGGGTCCGTGGCATAGGGTTAAAGAAAGTAAGATAAGAAGGGAAATCAGTCGGAGTCGTCAAGTAGTTTGTTCGACTATGGGAGAAAAGATGTTGCGGTTTGACGATATAAAGAAAAAAGGTGAACGAGTGAAGCTATTGTCCAAAAAAAGTGCAGAGCACCAAGAAGAGGATCCTCAACTGCTTTTGAAGGACTGCCGGTGCGTGCAGAAGATTGACCGGGCGCAGGAGGGCTCGCCCGTCAAAGCCTAAAAGGAATAGCAGGCGCTTTGAAAAAAAAAATCCGTTCAATAAAACAAAAGAAAATAAAATAAAATAAAATAAAATTAAAACCCGTATAGTTAAACTATTAATCACGGTGCAGAGAGCACTGTAAAACAGTAGTAGAGGGTTACTATCGGTAAAAGGGGTGGGACACTGAACAGAGAAATACTGGAAGGAGGCGCCAGTAGTGTCTAAATCAAGTAGCATGGGCCAACTACTAGGTAGGAGGGAGCAAGTCGGGACTCGGGATGAACAACCTGAACCCAAACAAAGACGTCTTGAAAGGTGAAAGGTTCTCTTCTAGCAACTCAAATCGTAGATGTGGAGCATGAGAGCCCGGCAACGAACGTCAAGAAGCAAGCCCTGGGCCATGGCCATCACAATCAGGGGAGAGCGAATGGTGAGTGCCAAGTGGAATTGGGGCATCGTACAACAGCAGTAACAATCGACAGGCACCCCTCAACCATGGCTCCATAGATAGATCGCTAAGTGGCCGCTGAGGGGGGAGCTCGAGGGGTGGATTCGTGGATACCCGGTGATGAGAATTTGTTAACTCATGATGGGTCCCCGGGGCAAGCGATGCCCCATCGAGGCAAGTACAGGATTCAGAAAGGAATTGGTTTCTCATTGTCATGTTGCAATTGGAGGCCGTTCCAACCCAGTACGTGGAATTGTGCCACAGGTGTTGTCTGGGCTCTGAGGTCGGCCTCTTATGGGGCCGTAGAGGTCCGTGAGAGACTCAATCCCGGAATCCGAATCAGCGCATGAGGGATTATGCTGTGTGTCCGTGAATACTCCAATACTATACAAGCTCCGGAGTACGGAGTCCCAAACAGCTAATCTACAATGCAAGAAATTGATTACCTGGAAAATTGATCTCCTGAACTCCAGGGGTTCCGAACGGGGCGACGGGTAAAAATTCCATGGGAACTGGTAAGCTAAGCTAAATGATTTGGTTGTCACGACACACGAGAAAAGACTTGGGAAGAGAGAGTGTACATACACGCTGGAGATGCAGTCGAAGTGACAAGTCAGTCCACGATAGCGTAACCCCTTGCCTTAGCTAAAGTTTCTTTCTTTTTGTTGCTTCAAGGATGTGTTCCTTCCCGTCTTCTGCATTTTTCTAGGGGCGGTTCTAGAGGCAATAGTCTTGTTTTTGTCTTTTCCAGGAGAATAAATAATCATTACGGAAAAGGTTTAGGCGCGCGGCTGCACACGTGCGTGCGTGCCTGCTTGGACTATTCCGGGATAAACAAACGAAGCCCGGTCCTTTCCTTTCCTCGAGTCAAGAAGGGGGGAAAGAATTGCAGCCATTTGAGCAACGCATCCCAAGTGCCGGTGCGCATAAATGAGTACTGCATACACCAGTGTGTCAGGACTTCAGATCTCAGAAACGCAAACTGTCGCGCTGTCATGTCAGACCAAGTTTGTGTCGGCAGCGATCAAAAATCCAAAATCCTCAAGAACTTAAAGTCAGGGGCTAAAAGCGGCTAGTCTTTGCTCCACGGGTTCTGCCAACCACTCCGTCGATGATGATCGATGATCCATGGAAATTGTTGATTACTGAGTATGTGCACACTGCACACTGTGGAAAGAGCCTTGCCTTGAAGAACTACCGAACCTCCTCGCCTGTCCTGAGCCTCTCAGCCGTCCCTTAGCCTAGGTAGCTGGTTTTTTCCTCCCAATGGGAATGTTCGCTGCTGCTGATCTTCGTCCCGCGCCCCAATGTCATACCCCGGCGTCGCACTGGTGGGGTCATCGAAGTTCCGATTCAATAGCGGTCGATGATATCGATCTTGAGCAAGCACGAACCTGCCCATCTCTACTCTAATTGGAATATCTAGGACATCCTCGTCATTCACATGCTGTCCACAGCCGTGCGCCACAACCGATCGGGAGACAAGATAGCGGCGAACTAGACATCAATCGTTCGTCATTGGGTAGCCAAAGGCTTAATCTCAAATCCTAGATGCATGGCGATTGAATAGT